ATACACAAGATTTCAGTTAGACTTGAATGAATATGAATTTATTATCCCGAATTGAGGCCAAATTTGAAAGATTTTTCTGTAAACATTAAACTAGCACTAAGTAAACAATGTTCGATGAAGAAGAAAATACTAAAATCTGACCAACTAGTTTTTGAAGTGCACAAATGAATGAATCAGAACAAATATAAAGTGGAGAAACATACATGTTATATTGTATTCTTTTTTACAGAGTTAAACTGGCAGTAAATCAGATGACACAAGAGGCCGTAGCTGTTAAGATACTAGATTTAGACAAAGTCGGACAAAATTATGATAATATTAGAAAAGAGGTAAGTTCAGTTGTTTTTAGCTTTATTTACCACATCACTTGCTGAAAGTTTCCACAGATAGCAAAAATGAATCCTCGGGGGCGGAGCTACGTCACAAGACGTTCCACGTTGCTAAGACGCGCACCACTGTACATGCATTTCTATGGGCTCTGTGTGCGCTGCTGTGGAACTCCGGTCGAGCCGGTGAAAATTCGAGAAAACGACACAAACTCAACTTTGAAGTAATCCTGAACAACCAAATTTACATATGTTACACACATAGGGCTAATCTTGTTACACTGTTCAGAGGGGTGTCAACAAGCATCCCAAAGTACCGTTTTCTGCGAGTTTTTGGATGTCCGCCCCCGAGGATAGGAAAAACGGCATAAGCAGGCAATGCATAAACCCTGAACTACCAAAAGCTTTCTTATTATCTCTCCCTCTATTATCTTTTTGCTCAGAATTTATTGCAGGATTTAGTCAATATTGAGTAGTATGGTATCTTGCAAAGATTTGAAATGCATTTGAAATATATATAATTTTATATTTCTAAAAAGAGTTTTCCAAAATTGTTCTTCACAATTTAATCATGTAACATATTTGACTTTTTGATAAATACACACCGAAAATAATTATAGAATCATGTACGACTCAAATGTTACTTTATGTTTATAGGTTTGTATTCATCGCATGGTAGAAGATAAATCTATTATTAAGTTCTATGGTTCAAGAAAAGAAGGCAATATACAGTATATCTTCTTAGAGTATGCCAGCGGTGGTGAACTTTTCGATAGAATAGGTATGCAAAATATGTCTGTTGAGGGCGCTCTCCTCTGCTACACAAATCATGATTGATGTTACACATATCAAATACATGTACATCTACAGTGTATTGTTTAGACACATTAAAATCTGTATCACTACAGTGTTATTTAAACCAATTTTTTTTTTACCGGATTCGGCTGATACCCCGCCCATCCTAAACCCCGCCCATGGGCGATGTTTCAAATAGTGGGCGATGTTTTGGTCCACACATTGCCTGACTGAACCAACAAACATTTTTACAGACCCCAATTTTCCCGTCCGACATCTTGTATCGAGCGCGCTATTTCAAATATGATGCTAAAATAATTCACTGTGAAGCCGAAAAACATTAAAAACTTCAATAAAACCAATGCTGTATACGAATTGTTGTTGCGTATTATTACACTCGAATAAAGCCTACGCTTGAAAAGAATGTTATTTACGAAGTTTAAAATATCCAAGCCTTCCTGGTTCGAGCCTCTTGGTTGTTATCAGTAATGTTTAATCTTTGTCTGTATCGCATTCCAGACAAAATGTCGGTAAACAAGAAATGGGCAAACTAAAATGTCTCCTGAGTTTCACATGCGACATGATTATTAAAAAACACACAGAGTTAAGCGGTTATGTACGTTCTATAAAGCTAACCTTGTACACATAATCTTGTACTGACGTGTTTTTTCTCCAAAAAAGACGTTCTCTTTCAGTTAACCCCCAGTTAGC